ATAGAACATATAAAAAGTATGCTTTAAGATACATGGCATAGTTTACTTTAAATAGAAACAATGTTCCTACAGTCCCAGCTCCGCATAGCAATGTTTGATGTGTTCATGCGGCGTTTGCGACTGTTAGATAAAACCGGCGCGTATTATATCTTTGTTGACTGCTCACCGTGCCTTTGTAGTCGATGAAAATGTATGCGCCACAGTGGCCTTCAAGTTAAACAACCCCTAATCTATATACTCGGACAGCACTGACAAATTGTCGGGCTTCATGTAAACGCCCGGGCAGTTTTCTTTTAAACGCTGTTAGATAAATCAAAGCGTCGGCTAAGCTATGTTATGCGAATGTAAATTATAACCCAATTTAGTGTAACACGCAGCCTCGTTACAATAGCATTAATCAGATTAGATTCACAGTCCCAGCTCCGCATAGCAATGTTCAATGAGCTCATGCGGCGTTTGCGACTGTAAAATGAAAACCCAGCCAGTATTATATTATTGTTGTTAGTGCTTTGCCGTGCACCAACGATGAAAGAGTATATGGCACAATACCACCTGGATTAACCATTTAAATAATATCTAAAGAGACCCCCAGATCACAGCACTGACAAATTGACAGGCTTGAAACAGACGCCTGGATAGTTTCCTTTTAAATGCTGTGAGATGAATAGCAGCGTCGGCTAAGCTATGTTATGCGAATGTAAATCTTGACCCTATTCAGTGTAACACGCAGCCTCGTTACAATTCCATCCATTAGACTTGATTCACAGTCCCAGCTCCGCATAGCAATGTTCGATGAGCTCATGCGGCGTTTGCGACTGTAAAATGAAAACCCAGCCAGTATTATATTATTGTTGTTGGTGCTTTGCTGTGCACCAACGATGAAAGAGTATATGGCACACTATTACTTGGATTTATTAACCAGGGTATTGAATGACATCTTAGGAATGGTTAGGAATCGAAAGATCTTCCATATTTTTAACTTCACAGTACTGACAAATTAACAGGCTTAAAAAAAATGCCTGTTTTTCTTAAATACTGTGAGATGAATTAAAGCGTCGGCTAAGCTATGTTATGCGAATGTATATAATAATCCAATTCTGTGTAACACGCAGCCTCGTTACAACTTAGAAAAGTTCTCATTTGAGTTCTTCATTGTTAAAATAGTTTAAAACGAACTAAATGAAACCAATCTATATGATATAAACTTCAAATTGATCTACCTAGATACAAGAATGGTTGATAACAACTCTTTAGATTCTTAATAATAATAGGCACTCACAAAAATATAAACCAATATGTAATTTCACAGTCCCAGCTCCGCATAGCAATGTTTGATGTGCTCATGCGGCGTTTGCGACTGTAAGATGAAAGCCCAGCCAGTATTATATCATTGTTGTTGGTGCTTTTTATGCTCCAACGATGAAAGAGTATATGGCACACTATCCTCTGGACACAGCAGCCGATGTATTTTATTTTTGGACCCTTTTAATAGTATTTATTTTTTCTTTACAGTGCAAAAGCAACATCAGCTCAATGGCAAAATGGTGGACGTGAAGAAGGCCCTGCCCAAGCAAAATGATCAGCAGGGAGGCGGCGGTGGCGGTGGACGTGGTGGTCAGGGAGGACGTGCTGGTGGAAACCGGGGCAACATGGGCGGCGGTGGCGGCAACTACGGAAACCAGAATGGAGGAGGCAACTGGGTAAGTACTTTTATTTGGCCTCCCATTTTAATTCTTATAAACTGGTTAATTGACATTGTAGAATGGCGGTGGTAACAACTGGGGCAACAACCGTGGAGGCAACGACAGCTGGGGCAGCAACAACTTCGGTGGAGGCGGCGGATACGGCGGTGGCAACAACAGCTGGGGCAACAACAACCCGTGGGATAATGGCAATGGCGGTGGCAACTTTGGCGGCGGCGGTGGCTCCAACTGGAACGGTGGTGGCAATGACTTTGGTGGCTATCAGCAGAACTATGGCGGCGGTCCTCAGCGAGGAGGCGGCAACTTCAACAACAATCGCATGCAGCCCTATCAAGGAGGTGGAAACTTCAAAGCAGGTGAGCACCCGGATTTATTATCTATTACCACCAGATAACGACACACAGTACCCTGACACCTAACTGTTAGAACGTCGATAGAGTTTGGCAGTTAGCTTATTGAAATGCTGTGAGATTAACTGACGATGGCCATCGCTATGTTATGCGTATGTAAGATAAACCCAATACAGCGTAACACGCAGCCACGTTACAGTTGTAAAATAGTCTTCCACCAGTGTGGATTAGTTGTTAGAGGAGAAAGACAAAGATTGGATGTTTTCTTAACGATCCTGGGTTTTCTTTTAGGCGGTGGCAATCAAGGCAACTATGGCGGCAACAATCAGGGCTTCAATAACGGTGGCAACAACCGCAGATATTGAGAGACATACCAGACGAGGTGAGACATTTCTTTTACCACCATTAACACATAGTTATAGTCCAAGGCGGAGTCAGACCATTAACCAACCAACTAACCCGTATGACCATTAAACTTTGGTTTGTTTTGACAAACGTTTATCGCTTTTTTTTTGTTTGTTTTTAATAGCGCCCCTATCGGCATTTTTTTGGTAGTCTGTAACAGCATCTGGGACTGAAAAGCAAAACCGGCTCAGACAGTCCGACCCACTTTACTCAACAACCCTAATTAAGCCTTATGTATTTACTCTTAAACGTATTTAGCGAACAAAACCCATCATCCAATTAAGAACCCTTTTTTTGCATACCAATTGTTTTAAATAACGTTTCTCATTTATCGACATTTTATAGGTGATAAAGTAAGAGTCGCTCAGTATAAGCCCAAAATTCAAAGTCAAGTAGACGATACGCAATTCAATGATCAATAACGAGTATGAACGAACGTTCATAGACCTAAGAAGTTTTCCGAGCACCACAAACCAAACCAAACATGACAGAGAAGAGAAGATATTGATCAGGATCAGTGCAGTGCAGTGCAGTGCAGTCGTAAGGAGTTTGGTTCAGACTTGGATTAGAACAGAAAGAGAGATCAGTACCAAACCAGACCAGACCAGTGCAGTACAGTACAGTACAGAGCAGAGCAGTGTGTGAGCTAAGCAAAAAGACTTACAAATCATTCAGAGAGATCGCACACAGCAAGTGGCAGTACACGTACACAGAAGCTGGCCAGGATTCCGTTCGATTTGTGTTTGCACACGGTGATTGATTATTAAGGCGCATCGAAAACTATCCAATTACCCATAGAATTGTAATCTAATTTCACATTGTAGCAACCAACTTAAGTAACATTGTAATTAGCAACAGGCCGACAGGCCAAACATTTGTATCTCCACACAACAAGCAACCTATATAACCGCAGCCATAAATGAATCAGAATGTAAAACTTCAAGGCGGCAGCCGAGAGATATGTTTGTTTGTATCTAGACAGCTCCAGCCCATCGGCCGCTGACAACTTTTGATAATCAGTGCAGAAAACACAAAATATAAAAATATGTATTACATTTTATGACTTCACTAGACTAAGTTCTCATAGATTTAAATCGAGTAGAGCGTGCGGCGATCTTCAGCAGCCGCACGCTGCCCTAGACTTAATTATTTACTATTCAAGTTCTAAGCAAACTTGACCGTGTGTGGAGGAACCTAGATACTTAGATTTCTTTGTAAGTGTCGACATGGAATTAACCTATCCCCGCTGTTTAGATGTAATCGATCAAAAAACAACACTTAATGTAATTTATACCTTTTAGCAAGCAGTCTGTCTGAGGTCAGCGCAATTATATTTAACAAAATTTACATTTTAATGTAGCCAAAAAATACAAGATTCAAATATACACAAGTGTCCAGCAATTGATGTAAACTCCAAACGACCGAACCAAAACTATTTAGCTTAGCCTAAGCCTCGTAGTTTTGTATTATTTTTGTATCAGCAGCGGCAGGCGGATCGGATCGATCAGATAAAGAGGAGGAGTATATTGGAGAGGTAAAAAAGGAGCAGCAAGTAGGACCAAGTCCAAAAGCCAGCCAAGCAATTGTCACTGTAGCGTTTGTTGTGGGCGGGCCATTAACATCCTTCGAGAGCTTTCTTGTTACTCGCTTAACAGGTTTTATTCTCCCCGTTTATTTGAATTGCCCACACCATCTGAACACCATGTCATTTACAACCATGTATATTATTGTAATTTCTGTTGCAAGTTGGCTGTGAAAAGTATGCGGAGCGCTGAGAGACTTCCGCCGCGCTACTAAGCAGCCACGGATCTTCGCCTCCGCACTTGTTTGCAACCTCCGGCGATGGGATTTGGTTCTTCCTGTCCCTCTTGTCCACGGGTAAGTTATCCTCCGCAGATCCCAAAACTGGCAAAAGTTGTAACTTACAGATGGTTTCCGGTCGTCTGGCTTCACTCGAGGATGGAGGAAGTGGAGCGCGTTCCCCTTTAAAGCGGCGTAAATATACGACTAATCCTTATTTTTCATTTTGTTTTTATTTTTCATTTAACATTTTTTAATAAAGAAATTACAGAACGAAAGTATGAATGTTTTTTAATTAAACAGTTTGGGATTTTGTTTTCAAATTTTAACGGGTGGCAGTGTGTGCACACCGGACCATAATAACAGTGTTACACTACCATTACCAGTGACCATGTAACAGCACTAATTTTGGTTGATAAAATAATTCAAATATTTAGTATGCCGTATAATGAAAATGTATTGCCACATAAAATGGCATTAAGTATTAAATTATGGATATAAAAGTGACAACATTTTGGAAGGCTAATTTGCGGAAATACATCAATCTGACGCCGTTAAAATGTGCAACAAAAAGGCTCCAAATAATACGTTAACATTTCAATGCAGATTAATAGGAGTTCAAAGCGCAAAGTGGAGTTTGGGTCACCTTTTTGTATAACAGAATGGGCAGTGTATAACAGTTGATATGGTTGGAGTCCATGATAAATAATAATAAATTATGTGGTATATTTAAGCGGTTGCAGTGTGGTCATACTGTTTGCATTTCTTTTGGGGAGGGGGCGTTAACTTGCGAATTAATGACTCTAACTAACTAAGAGACCACCTAAATCCCCAAAATGGACTCTACTGCCACTCGCACGCTGCCGTTTGTGTATAAATACAAAAACCACGAAGGCCAAGACTGCGAGTCACGGCTGGACATCACTTTTCCGTTCGACCAGGAGAATTTGGAGGAGTGTATCACCCAGTTGATGGCTCCATCCCAGATGGATCCCATGATGCGGTATCTGGACGAAAATATCAGTGAGTACTTGGGATTACGGGCTTAAAGCAACCTCTTAAAGAGATATCCATCCCAAATCAGACCTAGAGAAGCAACTCCAGGAGTTCGTGGACACGGAGCAGCAAAAATTTCTGGACGACCACGCCGAAAAGCTCCTCAGTCAGGCGGCCAACGAGGAACTGGACATTGAGGCCATTGTGCGGGACACGGAGCGACTGTACAAGGAGGAACTGCTGCAGTTTGCCGATCGTGTGGGTCCCAGTGATGCGGATATTTTCGCCCAGAGTTTCCACCGGCTGGTGCACTCCTCCTCGCTGGAGGACATCCTAAAGCGGGAGCGGACCTATGCCAAGGTCGTGGCTGACATGACCGAGCTCATGGACAGCGAGGTGGAGACGCTGAATAACTCCCAGCAGCAGGAGATGGATAGCCAGATCAGCCAACTGGATATCACCACCACCTCGGAGGACATCAATAATCTCCTGGCCCGCCAGTACACCACTCAGAATTTCGTTCGCAAGCGCTACGAATCGGAGTTGGAGGCGATGATGGGGCATCAGAAAAACGAGTATCGCGATTGGATCACCAGCCAAGTCAGTCAGATGTTCCAGGTGTCGCCGGTGTCCACGCCACTGGGCAACCGGTCCTCGATGTTCGTCTCACAGCAACCATCGATGGAGGAGAGCTTCACCATCCACCTGGGATCGCAGCTGAAGCACATGCACAATATTCGCATCCTCAGCGCCAATGTCACGGAGCTCTGTAGTCCCCTACACGCCGAGGAGAGTCTCAATGGCCTTAACATGGCACTGGGCCTGTACTCCAGCTCCCTCTGCGGCGTCGTCGTGTTGACCCCATCGATTCAGGCCCAGGCCAACAAGAATATCATCAAGAACGCCAACAAATCCACCGAGTTTCACTTTGAGCAGATCGATGTTCAACTGGAGAAGATCGAGAAGCAGATTAAGAACCTAAGCACGGGGGATTCTAGCGGCAGTAGCCATAGCAACAGTAGTGCCGAGGGCAGCGCCACACCCTCGCCGACAAAGAAGAGCCTGCCCAGGCTGAAAACGGGCGACTTCTTTATCACCAAGCACTCGAATCTCTCCCAAACCCATGTGATATTCCACCTGATTTCGGACGAACCCATCAACAGTCCCAGTGAGATCAACTCGCGGCATCCGGTGATCTTGGGCTTGCGGAATATACTAAAGACCGCCAGCAGGCATGACATAACCACGCTGACCATTCCGGCTCTGCTGCGCCACGAGATGAGCGAGGACATGACCGTTCAGTGGTGCATTCGAAGAGCGGAGCTGGTTTTCAAGTGTGCCAAGGGATTTATGATAGAATCTGCATCTTGGGGAGGCGCTGAATTAAGGTGGGTTATTGTAATTTTGAATTAAATGTTAAAGGATTGTAAATATATTGGTTATTTCAGCACCTTGCAATTGCTACTGCCTGACGACATATCGGAGAGTCTGTTCACCACTCTGGCGGGAATGGTCCCCAGTGTTTTCCATGTGGCCAATCCCAAGATACTGGTGGACACCAGCAAGTAGACTGCGTCAACATTCCTCAGAGAATATTCAAAAAAGACTTTAAACTTATTTGTATGAATATACAGTTTATTCAGATTCAGAGTTATATATGTATGTATATGCTTCGTTATTCGTCGCTTCGCTCAAAAAGTTTGTTTTTAACTTCAATACACTCAGAATTTTCTGTAAATGTTCCTGTATCAATTTTTGTCAATAATTCATCGCAACCTTTTTCAAAACTACAACACTACGATGTATAAGTACATATTCTCATATATATAGTTATATGTTAGGTATAGGTATCATGTGTATATTACCTCCAAATGTAAATGTTTATCTTTGGTTTCGACCCCTCATGCATTCTGTGTAATGTGTGTATCTCTGTGGATTGTATTTTAGTCTGTTCGGTTATCTATTATGATTATAATTATGATACTTTGAATAACTCTGATCGGTAACTTGTAAATATGCTTTTGAAATATATATTTATGTATATCTAAACAATTGTATTCTGCGGTATTTTTAGGTTTTGTTAACAATTAATTAGGTTTTTTTCTGTTCATTAACATTTCGCTGTTCAACTTTTCTTCGTTTGTTTTTTCTTGGATTTAGCCCAGTGCGTTGTTTGCTGCGTGTCTGTGATTTGCTGCTTTGCAGTGGGGAGTAGAGTTTCAGAAAATATTTAATTAATGCTTCAGTTGTGTATTTGATTGGTTGTCCGGCTTAAGGGTTACATAAAATTAGTGACAAGTGTTAAGGTACAGGAACGGACCGTTTTGAGTTTTAGGTGCGAGCAATATAATACACATATATCGTTTCTCTTGGATCTTTGTGTGCCATTTAAAGCACTTGATGGGAAGGGATATTGGGTTTTTGGTACTTTGGGGAACTGCATCTGAAGGAATTGACATAAACAGCGTAAATAAGTGTTAAAGTAGCACGTATAAATAAATTACATTTCTATAGCCGTTCGCCAAAAAATGCGCATTGGAGTAGTATGGCTTTCAGAACTCGATCCCTTCTGTTTGGGAAGCTCTGTTTCAGCATAAATTATATTATCGTTAAATTATAAGCCATTGCTCTGTCTTATGCAAGGTTATTTAATAAATACTTTTAAATTAATTCTGAGAACAGTGCTGTGGTCTGAGCTCTCTTAAGTATACATTCGTGTCGTGATCTGTTTAAATTTCGTTAGTTTTTTCGCTACATTGAAGAAGAATCTGCCTACAATTCGCATGCCAAAAATGTAATGAAGTATTCTATATATGGGTTTTTAGCTTAATACTTGGCTCGTGCCTTAAACTACTTCGTATGGGTAGTATGCCTAAATATATTTAGTTAAATCAGAATATATGTTAAAAAGTTTACTAAAATTGAAACTATCACAAAAAACAAATACTTTATCAAAAAGTACAAAGGTATATAAACTCAAATAAATTATGGTTTAAAGGTTGAGTATGCAAGTGGGTGTGTTGGTGTGTAAAAGGAGTGAGTTGTAAAGGAATACATTAATATGTAATCCGGTAATTCCCCGCGCTTGCGTTTACATTTGACTCTCCTTGCGCCACTGGAAGGTGCCCGACTTGACGCCAATGCTGGAGGAGCCCTGATTGCTGCTGGAGGAGAGTATGTTGTTGGTGCGTCGGATCAACTGGGAGGCGGCATCGAAGCGACTACGGATGAGCCGCATTGCTGGATTACTGGAAACTCCGCTGCGCTTGCTTTTGCTGTGGGTGAAGAAACAGAATAACCAATAAGTTATTGCGTTCTGAAAACAATCTTTAAAAGCATTCTACTCACCCCGAGGAGCTGGGCTGGTTTTCCTTGAGGTTTCCCAAAATAATACGCATGTGCGTGTCCCGGGCGAAATGATTATCCGGCAGCTTGGCACCTCCGCCACTGCTAGTTCCGGCTCTCTCATCGTCCACGAAGGCATTCAGACCCGGAAGTTGGCCGGGTGAGCTCAACTCGCTGCTGGGCGAATGCGGGGGCGTGGCATACAGCGGCGACATGCACTCCATGTCGTACATGTCCGCCTCGTTGGTCATGTTGGATGCTATTTGGAGACAACTCAAGTTAGCACAAATTGGAGTAGTTCGATTAAGTGGACCTACCAAGCTGATGCTCGCTGAGATCGGGCAGAACCTGCGAGTGCCGCTGGGCACCTCCGCCTCCACCACTAGACTTGTGTCCTGCTGCTCCTCCCGAACTGGAGGCGTGCTTCGAATTGACCATCAGATTGTTGCGTGAGCTGAGTTTGCTTTGTCGCTGCAATTGCTGCGTGAAGGTAAGCGGCGCTTGCTGTGGTGATAAACAAATATTAAAGATTGTCTTACAGAGTCTTAATCTTAAGTGAATACTCACATCATTGCTGCTGCCCGTGGATTGACTAGAGATAACGCTCTTGCGCTTATGCAAACTGCTCGTGTCCGACTGCATGGTGTTCTGGTAGAAGTTGTTCGAGCTGTGCGTGGAGCTGGAGGCATTGAGGACGTGCAGGTGGCTGCCGTTGTGCACCGTGGCCGTGGTGGCGGCCGAACAGACCGACGTGGCGGAGGCGTGCGCCGGATAGGGAGCCAGATTCTGGTGCAGCGGCAGTGCCGGCGGCTGGTCCGGGGACCTCAACATGCTGGCATGGGCATGGAACTTGGGTTCGTTGGGATTGCTAGCTTCATCTAGTTGGGAAATGGGATAGGACAAAAGGGAAAGCGTTAGTAACAGAGCAAGAGGCTTCTCCTGCGTGATGGACTCTTACTTTTGGTGTAGCTCTCGAAGATCTTCAGGATGCTGGTGCGACTCGACTTGGCCGCCAGCTTGATGGGCGTTCGTCCGCAGTGGTCCGACTTGTAGGGATTGGCTCCGAACTGGAGCAGGGCGATCACACACTTTTCGTGTCCCTCCTGTGCTGAGATGCCCAATGCAGTGGCTCCCTGTTTGCAGGCGTGATCCGCCAAAGCTCCGTAGTAGAGAAGGATGTTCATTACGTCGTGGTTGCCCTGCCAGGCGCAAGAGTGCAGTGGCGTTCGGGCCTCCAGGTCCATGGAGTTTACATCCGCTCCTGCCTCGATCAGGGTCTTGACCATATCCGCATGTCCCTGCCAGGCGGCCACATGCAGAGCTGTACGTCCCTCGCTGTCCGGAATGTTCACATCCACGTTGGTCATGTCCAGCAGGTACTTGACAATCTCCAGTTTGTTCTCCAGCGCCAGGATGTACAGGGTGGTGCGCGAGTCCGCGTCCTTGGAGTTCACGTCGCAGCAGAACTTCAGCAGGAACTCCACGGTGTCCATGTGACCCTCCAGGCAAGACAGTCGGAAGGCAGTCTTGCCATCATGGGCCTTTTGGTCCACGAAACTGGAGTGGATATCCAGCAGAGCCTGGACGCAGTGAAGCCGTCCCTCCTGAGCGGCCAGATGCAAGGCGGTCTTGCCCTCATTGTCGCACTCATCGATCTTGGCCCCCGACTCCAGCAGTTGCAGGCACACCTCGTGGAATCCTTCGAAGGCGGCATAGTGCAGTGGCGTCCAGCCGGCATTATCCCGATGCGTTTCATCCAGTCCGCGGTCGAGCAGTTGCCTCACCGTCTCCACATTTCCCTGGGCTGCGCCAATACTTAGCACTGTGCGTCCCTCAGAGTCCATGCAATCGATGCCGCAGCCCCAGAAGAGCAGCAACTTAACCACGGTGGCATGTCCGGCCGTACAGGCTGCCCACAGTGGAGTACGTCCCATAAAATCGGCGAGATCCGGATCGGCGGCGTTCTCCAGGAGCAGCTCGCACACTTCGGCATTGCCCTCGAAGGAGCTTACTAGCAGTGGCGACATGCCATCGTTGTCCAATTGATCCGTGTTGGCACCGTGATCGAGGAGCGTAGAGATAACCTTACTGTATCCGGAAGATCCACACAGGGCGGCCACGCACAGAGCACTGCGTCCGTCGAGGTCCAGATGATTGACATTGGCACCGTTCTCCAGTAGGATCTCCACGATGTCATAGTGACCCATGTAGGAGGCGGCAATAAGCGAAGTGCGTCCCTGACGATCCACAGAGTTGACATCCGCTCCCGACTCGATCAGCAGCTTCAGGATGTCCTCGTGACCGCTCCAGGCGGCGGCCCTTAGAGCTGTGCGTCCCTCCTTGTCGGCGAGGTCAATCTTACAGGCCGGTTGGGCGATCAGTAGACGCACCACCTCACTGTGTCCGCCCCAGGAGGCGGATCTCAAGGGAGTCCAGCCATCGCGATCGGCATGGTTGACATCCACCCGCTTCATCCGGCCAGTTCCGTCGTTGCAGGGCTGGGAGAAGCTCAACAGCAGTTTCACCACCTCAAGGTGTCCGTTCCTCGCGGCTATGTTCAAGGCAGTCTGGCCATTGTAGTCCTCAATCTCCAGGTCGATGGGACTCTTACAGGCATTGAGGGCCCTCTCCAGCAGCTGGTGATTGCCGTCGTTGGCCAGGATGTGGATCAGAGCCTTGCCCTTGTGCAGCTCAATGTGGTGGGAGTCGGAGAGCTGGTGCAGCGTGCTCGATGCATTCTCATCCTGGCTCTCAGCTGGCGGCTCACTGTGCTCCGAAGGACTTCCTGCTCGCTGGGTCTCCATCAGACAACTCTTTTCGCTGGATAATAGCAGATCCGCCAGCTCAAAGTCAATGTTTTGCGATTTCTCAGAGAGTTCCGGCGACATAAGGGAGGATTCACAGGAATTCTGGGATTCGGCATTGTTGATGCCCGTCTCAATGAGCAGCTTCAGCATCTTGGCGTCCGTGGGCAGGCTGGGCTTGAAGAAATCGCACAGGAACTGGGCGAATGGTTCGCTCAGTTCGCTGGACAAGAAACGCTCTAACATCGCACGCGTCTTCGGCAGGAAGTTGACGTCGTACTTGAAGTCATGCTCGCACTGGGCACAGCAGTTCATCTGGTTCGTGTAGAAGCAGTCACTCAAGTTAAGTCGTGATTCCAGCAGCATCAGGATGAGATCCAGGTCAACGTGGCGGCTGGTCAGATACTCTCCCGATCTTATGAGATGGTAGGCAAATCTTCGAACCGTATTCGCACAGAGGGTATCCGCCACCAGCAGGTAGTACATGGAGATCATAACATGGCCCTCATTCACGTCGCAGATGAACTTCTTGGTGGCGAACTTCACGTCCACCAACCAGTCGGCAAAGGAGTTGTGGAAGATCTTCAGGCGCTGGGCATTGGAGTCATAGGCCAGGATGTTCCGCATCAGCTGCAACCGCTTCTCGAACTCCTGGCAATCGATTGTGTAGTTGTGAGTGCGCAGGCAGTTGAACAGGAATAGCTTGTCCACGTATCCAGAGGAGGCCAGCAGGACATTCAGCAGAGGTCTGATCTTCATATACTGCTTCTTGTTGAAGGACTTCTGGCAGATGTACAAGTACAGGCCGTTTAGAGTGCAAGGGATCAGCTTGATCTCTCGGAAACTGAAGAAGTTGTCCTTGATGCCATGCAGCACCTTCTCCAGGTAGAGTATGCAGCCATTCGACTTGATGTACAGCTGGTGCAAGGATTCGATTATCTCCTTGGTCAGCATGATGCTATCCTTGAAGTCCGAATTCAGCCGGTTGATAATGTACTCCTGCACGTCCTTGACCACGTGCGACTTGCGCAGATCGTCTAGGGTGATCTTCTTGAAGCCGGTAAACATCTTGGTGATCTGCTTGGTTTGCTTTTTGGTGGTGCACACCAGAAAGAGCCATTTGGGAAACAGGTGGATGTGATTCGAGAGGAGCTCTGCTACATTACGGCTCTTGTGGTTGGTGACCGTGCCCCTTCCTCCCTTCAAAGTGGAGATCAGGTTGCCCTCGTTAATGTAGTTCTCGTCGATGGAGTCGATCAGCAGGAGTAATGCCGTCTTTGGAGGAGTGAGTTCCAGGAGGGGAAACAGGAATGCCTTCTTGAAGCACTCGTCGGGATTCTTCTCGATGTTGTCCACGCTGAGGCACTCCAGGATCTCCGGATTCGACAGAAGCAGTTCGTAGTAGCCATCAGCTATGACGGTGCGGCAGCTCTTAGTTTTCGGCAGCGGTGGGGGTAGTGTGTTGGTGCTAATCCTCGGCTTGTCGCCTGGTACTGGCGGTGGCGTCTGCCCCTCCTCCTGTTTGCCATTAACTTTGGTATCTGTGAAATCAATGAGGGGCTCAGTGGTGGTATCAGCCGCGCATTCGCCTTGGGGTTCCGCCTCCTTGGCTTCCTGACTGGATTTACTCAACTCTTCTTTTAAAATCTCATCTAAATCCTTATCCGCCTCGGGTTTATCCTCCTCATTCTCTTCGTTGTTGGCTTGTGGTTCTTCAACCTTGTCATCCTTGATGGCCGCTTCGATTTCGTGCTTCTCCTGGTCAGTATTGAGATCGGCTATGTCCTCGCCACCACCTTGCTGAATGGACTGACCTCCGTTGCTGATGGTTGCCAATTTCGAGGGTGAAAGCACACCGCTGCCGGAACGACCGCGCTTGACGGGTATCTTTGACTTGCTTTTTGCGGGACTCGACTTGACGGGCTCCTTCTGTTCCTGAGATTGCTTCTGCTCCTTTTCGCTGCCCATGTCCTTGTCCTGCTCGGGATCACCTCGTTCCCTGGAGGCGCGTTTCGGTGGATGTGTGCCGTAGTTACTGCCAGTCTTGTCATCCGGATCCACTGCAGCAACGCTTTGTAATGGAGCCGGCTCCGATTGCTGGCGCGTGAGACTCGTCCTGGCCGCCTTGTTCACCGTGGAGGTGCGCTGCGACTGGAAATTGTCCAGCTCCCTGGTGTCGCACTCGCTTGCTCCCCTTTTGAGCTCCTCGATCAGCAGCTCCTCGGCATTCTCGCTGAGGCTTATGTTGTTCATGGCCTCGTCCAGCTTGAACTCCTGCTGCTGGGCCTCTTCGCGCAGGAAGGAAAAGCCCTCGTCGATGATTCGCTGGCTCTCATCCCGGCTGATCAGCGAGGCATGGCTGAGCAGCTGCAGCACAATCTTCCGCATGAACAGCGACAGGCTGTGGCACTCCGGATTCTGGGACTCGATCAGATAGCAGGCCAGCAGCTTCCGGTTGAGTATGCCCTTGGTGCCGGAGTTGCCCTTCATGATGGCCTGGCAGATGGAGGTCTTACCAGACCCATTCGATCCCAGAACCAGGCAGCCATTGTAGCTGGAACTCGATATGGCCGCCGCCTTGGCCCTGGCGGATACATAGCTGGAGGAAGCTGCTCCCAGGGCCACAGGCACTGGCTTCTTGCTCGCCGTTCGCTGCTCCAGACACAGGGCAATCTTCTTCAGCACCCACTCGCGGTGAATGTAAACGGTGCTCACAATGCGATTGTTTGGCTCCAGGCCTCCACTGTGAACCAATCCATTGACCTCCTTATCCGGCGACACCTTGCGTTGCATTAGAGCCTCCAGGTTGCCATCTGTATCCTCGGCACCCTCGGGTTTGGCTCCACCTGCCGCCTCCTGGCCATCTTCCTCTGCCTTGGTTTCACCATTCAACTGATGACCCACATCCTGTGGGAAATTCTGCTGCACCAGATTGGCAAAGTGCTCCTCGCGCGCAAGGTTGGAGAAACTTGCATTCGGGCAATCGCGTCCCGTGATCTCCAGCTTCTTCTGCAGCTGTGTGGTGTCCTTGAGGAAGTTGAGGATGCGTCGATCCTCCAAGTGCTGGTTGGCCGTTCCGCCCGGCGGTTGATTGTTGTACTTGGAGCCACCCACTAGGGCGCTAGTTGAGGCACTGATGTCCACACCGTCGCCCTTTCCATTGTCCTCATCGGCATCTAGGTCGGTGATCTGAACGGGATTGCCGTTGCGAGCACTGGCCAAGCGATTAGAGTCCCGATAATTGGACAGCTTTGTCTCTGGGTTTCCTGTGTTTACATGGCGACTCCGTTCGCCGCTCTTGTAGCGATCGGATTTGCGCAGAGGTGTGGCATACAACATCTCCTTGGGCAGATTGCTGGCGGGCTTCGTAATCGGCGGCGTGGAGTTGCAGTTGCTAATGGAGTTCGCATTGGGGTTATTGCCGGCCGTCTGCGTGGATGATTTCTGCTGCTGCATCTTGCGCACCGAATCGTTGTACATCGCCTGACAGGGCAGATTTTCGTAGATGTCATTGCGCAGATTATCGTTGTCCGTGTGCTTGGACATTGTGGCTGCTGCTGCTGCTGCCGCCGGCTGGTTCGTGCGAGAGAGCTCTGCAGGATGTGCGTAATCCGTTTGCCGACTGTCTGCTCCCAGAAGCGGGTTCATTGGCTTCTCGCTCTGTGTGTCTGCCTGCCGCCTTTCACTTAAGCCGCTCAGTTGACTGCAAAGAGAAGACAGGGGAAATGGGCTTAGTTTTATCACTTTAATATGCAAGCAGCTCTCAAAACTAATCGTACGAAGCGAACGCCAAATGGTTTAATTGCATTTTTATGCGGAGATCAGTTGATGTTGGGTAACTCGTTGGGTAGTTCGGTAAATTGCACTTTAATTTGATTACCAAATGTTAATTAAATTTATTAACTCAATTTCTTTGACTATCAAATACTAAGCTCTTCTTAAATGAAGTAAACTGGTAGCCTTACAATCATAAAAATCTTATGAATATGCACTAATCCTAATTGAACTCCTTCTTGTATTGGAGTATTAAAATTGGCCTGTCCAACTGAATTCCTAAGAGTAATGACAAGATAGTTCGAAAAACCACAATATGTAATTTCAATCAGCCATTAAAATAATTAAAATAGCTTCTTCCTCGTTAGTTCCATTACATCCTTAAGATAGCAGAAATTACCTTGCTTCCCTCCTCTTTCGACTTTTATGTGCCTTTACTTGAACTTAACTAGCACTTTCTTCTGCCATGTTTTCCAGTGGCTTCACTTTTTTTAACATCCTGCAAACAATTGACCTGATTTCTATACATTTTAACCCTTTGGCAGCTGGTGGCCTCCTCCCAGCCATTCACCTCGTCCACGCCCACTGCCGCCCTCTCGCTGTGCACACAGAAATACATATACTTGTCATCATTTCTCCTGCGCTTGTCTTTACGCGCAGTGTCTTTTGTTCTCGGGGCTTTTGCCATATCTAAGCTTATATGCCATTTATGTGCGTCGTTGAGGATGACTGTGGGTTGGTGGCTCAGCTCTGTGTAAATAGTGCTCTTCATGCCACAAAGTTTTTATTTTAAACTTCAATTTACTCGTCGAGTCTTGGTCGGCGGTGTGTCCATGTCGGGGGATCGAGGCGGGGGCTTTGCAATGTAACTAATGATACGTCCCAGCACGCTTGTTGTGCAACTTTTAGCCGGAAAATGGAGCAAATTCAGCACGTTCTCTTGGTCCGCTGATGGCGGGGCTGCAAAACTCTTGCCCGTAAAAAAAAATCCGGGCCAAGTGAAATGAATGATTTACGCCTGTGCTGTAAAGGGGAAAACCATTTCCAAAATGACAGCGAGGAAAGGACCGACGACGACGACGGATTACCATAATGTTCAGCAAGTCAGCTGTAAAAACCAGTGATTGAACGGGTGACGGGACGCTTCAGGTGAACGGGATGACAGGAACGTTAGCAGGAGCAGGAGCGGAGGAGTCAAATGGAAATGGTCCGGACGACGACACATCAACTTCCTGACCGCGAAGGCACGTGAGTGCTTTTGCCTCTGCTTTTGGCACTGCGGCCGTTTAAGCGTAATTATTGGATGGATGCCCGTATTGTTAACCCCGGTTTGCCGCCATCGCGGTTTTCCACCAACCATCCACCACCCACCATCACCAAAACCCACAACAATACGGCACGTACGAAGTTGCATTTGACTTTGCCACATTCGAGTATCGCCCCGTTTGCACGTTCTCCGTGATTCTCCTCTTTTATGGGACCAAATTGATTTGCCATTGTAAACGAAATGGAAATGGAAATGGCAACGGCCTCTGATTTCTTGTAGGGATTTTAAAGATTTTGAACTGTGCTGAAATGTGCTAATTATGCAAGTTTAATGGCTTTTCCGAGACGAGTGCGTGTAGCAGGCAATCCAAAAGGAATAGAAAGGGGAGCAGAGCACACAGAGCCCAGCTAATTGGAATTTCCACAGCTCGGCATAAGTTTTCCCTTCGGAACTTGACAAACTGGCAGACCGTGTAACTCTCGATAAAGTTTCCTTGGCTATTACGGCTTCCCCTTTTTCGTAGTTTGCAAAGTTTAATTGATGTTCTGCTGGCAATTATGCTAATTAAACGCAAAGAGCCGATCACGCATTGTAATTGAACCAATTTTCGCCCATGATTCAGACGCTAGGAATTTCCGATATGTTCGCACATTGTAAATGCCAAAAAACAGAGGAAAATGTTAAACAAATAGCGGAAAAGAGATTTAATGAAATGGGCAATGTTTTTATTGCTCTCGGAAAAACACACACGTTTGGAAGTAATCACACAAGTACGAAGACAGACAGACAGCCAGTCGGCAAGCCACATGGGGCATGGTTCCACAGACATCTGGAGCTTGAAATGTATCTGCGGCTGGCAGCTGGGTGAACTTGAGCCATGGCGGCGTGGGAATATTTCGCCTGCTGCCGTGGGCCCACAAAAAAATGCAAATGGAAATTTTTCGCCTGGAAAAACAGCTCTGATGCCTGGCCCCGCCCGAAAAAACCAACCGAAAAGCCAAAGAAAAGGAAGCCAGTGGTCGGTTCGGGGTCGTAATTGAAATGTTGCACCCACAGACAGGGCGTTTAATGCACTTCACATTTACATTTGCATTTGCCGCCTTCCTGGCATTCAAAGGGATGCAGACAGGAAGTACTCCATTAATTTGTATTTACATATTTCGGTTTCGCATTTTACTCTTTTCTGGCCTTTTTATACCCTTGCAGAGGGTATTATAATTTCAGTCTAAAGTTTGAAACGCAGTGAAGGAGACATTTCCGACCCTATAAAGTATATATATTCTTGATCAGCATCACCAGGAGAGTCGATCTAGATGTAGATATTACTGCTTAGAAAAATATGAAAAGACTTTATTTTGCAATACTTCATATGATGCCAACCAAATTGAATTAAGACTGAAATGGATTGACGCGAAACGCAAACAATAATCCGATGAAACCATTGACCTTGGATTTCATCACTGATTGCCTTGACTATTATGTAAGACGTCTGTTTCACTCCAATGAACTGTTGTTTTTTAAATGATTGTGTAGGTCTTCCTGCTTAGTTGATAAGCAGTGCTTAATCTCTGAAGTATTTTGGGGCCTCAGCAACGAAAATCTCTAACAGACTTATTAGTTAGCTATTTGCGATGGCGAGAATTAGACCCCTTTTTTGGATTAGCTGCGTGCTGCTACTTGGCGTGGATCTTAAACTTGCCTGGGCCGATCCCAATGTCGCGCTCTTCAACCAAGTGCTTAGTTACATGGATCAAAGTCTCGAGCCCTGCCAAAACTTTCAAAACTATTCAACCAAGTACGCAAAATGGATAAAGCCACCAACGCATGCAAAGTTTCATACCATGCTCGCCGAATTAAAGGATCAGGACTTTGAGGAGGGTAGCCTGGAGGGAAAAATCCAGCGATTCTATAATATCTGTCTGGCAAGGACGCCAAGACCTTTTTTCATGGAACCAGTGCAACGATTGACTCTCCAGGAACTGGAGATCCAGCATGGGATATCCCTGAGCAAATATCTCGAGTTCAATTTCGATCAAACCGTTCCGCCCAATGCCACTGTACATGTTATGAGCCAGGAGATCTTTCAACAGTTCAAGGAACTGTTGAAAAACTTTAACCCGGATGAAACGCGGAATACTATCCAGTTATATGGTTCTTTTCAATTCTCGCTAAGTTTTCCCGACATCGAAAGGGTTTATGAATGTTCCACATTAACGTCCACTTACCTGGAGTTAGCTTCCAACCTACTTTATGAGGAGCGTGTTTTGGGACCCGCAAAAGTAAGTCAATACCAGTCCCAAGTTCAACCAATTTTCAACGCGATCCGCCATCAAATAATCACCCGACTCAATAGAAACTCAGTTAACTGGACGACGACTGAGATTAAGGATCTTCAAGATAACTTAAAGAGTTTGACCCTTAGAATTGGACACCTACCAAAGAAACACAATCACCGTCAGTTTGTAACAAACCGCTATAAGCACTTAAATTTTACCATTGAAGACGACTACGATTCTGCAGTTCTTAAGGCTCGGCAAGACCTGGGTCTTGAAGAAGAGCGCGAACTGTTTAGCGGTTTCTCTAAAATTCATCGATCTGGAAATATCATTGCGGTGCCTTACAATCTATTGGAAAATTTAGCCTTTGACCTCGAAAGCCATGACTTATTTAAGATGACCCAGCTGGGGATTCAATTAGTCATAGCTATGGTAGATATTGACAAAGGAAAAAGTTGTACCCAAAAAAACATTGATTTTCTAAAAATGTTGGACGGTTTTCAGTTTAATGTACCAATGTACCACCAATGTACAAACCGTTCGAATAGCGATAATTTATTAGCTATTCAACAAATTGTCCTAATCGCCCTGAATATTGTCCATGAATCCTACTTTGCACCAAAATCAAAGTTTACACAGATCCAGCCCAGCTTCACCACAACAACCTTGAAACAGCTCTCTTTCTTGAGGTTGGCCCAAAGCTATTACATCGAATTAACTGGGTTGCCTTTGGACGGAATGCTTAATCAATTGACAAAGCTGCCTTCATTCGTCCAGGCCTTTAACTGTCCTAATTTAAGATAGGATGACAACAAGCTACCTCAAGAGTAATATTCAAAATTCAATATCAAAATTGAATTGAATAATTTATCAAAAAAAACATTGTATACTTAATAAACAAAATTTGATACAATAAAGAATTTGGTTTACTTATTATACCCTTGCATAGGGTATTATAATTTTGGTTATAAAGTATATATATTCTTGATATATTATCCGTCTTTAAAACTAGTCTCCCAGTTTCAAAGATATCGAATTGAAACTTTGCACACAGTATATAAGTCGGAACGGCCGGGATCGGCCGACTATATCCTATAGCTGCCATATAAGTTAGGAAGTTGGGATTTTTTGAGTGTTAAGAATGCATCATATGAATAATTTTGGAGAATATAATTTACAGAATATTCTGCAAGGGTATTTCAACTTCGGCTCGAAGCATATTTTTTTTAATTTTTTATGCTGTTGATTATGATGGGCTCTGCTCATGTTTAAATAATAACTCTCCGGACTTGTTGACTTGCTCAATTATTCAGGCAATAACTTTTCGTAAACAAAATATATTCCATGCATGGCAAACAGTTTGCAGGCGCAAATAAATGTATGCAAACCGAGTTAGATAAAAACATATATTTATTGCATGTCTGGGTGGCTGCCGAACCGAGTGCGACGATTCATCAGTGCGACAATCGAGTGCGCAAATACAAAATCAAATATTGCATCAAATTGTTTGCGAGCCAGCGAATGGAAAAAGGTAAAAAATCAGGCGAAATTCGCTGTACGTGCAGAATCATGTGAAAAACAGCAGCACAAGCAGCTTAGAGGCAACCAGAGTTTGCGAAACTCAGGAGCACTTCCGTATCGATTTTCAGGCTCCCTCGACTGCAAGCCATGACAAACGATGCTGAAAAGAGGGCAAAGTCTGCATACTCTGCCACAAAATCCAGACGGGAAAAAAAGTAACTTGAACAATGATCAATGGGCTAATAATTCCGTGAAAAGAAACTTTATCCCAGGCTTTTCCAATCAATAACCTATGTTCTATACTGATTTTTAAGAGCAAAGCTATCTTTATTATACCAACAACCATTGACCAAATTTATCCCTGTTTAAATTGATATTGTTTTGTAAACCGAAAGGCGTTTTCAACTTTCGGTAATGTATGCTTTATAGGTTATTCAATCCTTAACCGATTTTCCAGGTAACAAGACCCCGGAGAAAATAAGTGCCACCTTCTAAAGCAGAGAATGGAATCGTTTGAAGCTGAAATCAAAACGAATGCTCTGGGCTCCGCTTACAGATGCGCTTAATTTTGTAATACAATGCCGCTGGAGGCTGAGCAATTCCCCACCTCCAAAGCGCTAAGGACTCCCAGTGGGTTGGGATTGCAGCCTGGAACGTGCCCAAAACCATTGGCATTGTGTTTGGTGGGCTGTGGAATGGCTTTTGGTTCCCAACCAACATTTGCGGCTGCACCGGAAGCGGATTCAATGCGGGCATCGGAAAGGACAATGGTGTGTGCACGGCGATGCCGGTGCAGGAGCATCACAAATGGGAACAGGATGTCACAGAGCTGCCGCCAGGATGCGATGTCCGTGGGCCCTCGGGGTGAACGCTTAATTAAACTTAAATTTTTCATGCCTCCGTAAATGCAGTTTATGCATTCACAGGACATTATGGCTTTATGGAGAATGAGAAGGAACAGCGCGCGTATCCGTTCTGCATAAGGGCAAGCATTAACTCTGACACTGCCGTCATCATCATCATCATCATCATCGTTCTTGGCAGGGATTTTTATGTAATATTGCCGGAATGCCTGGCGGCCTGCATCCTTGCCCTCTTTCGCTCCTTGGCACGCCCATCCAACTTCCAGCCATGCATTTTTCAACACTCTCCAAGAACAGCAGCAGCACACAGCGAACAAAAATTTCGGCGAAGAGCAAGAGTTTTTAAGTGCCAAGAGAACAGAGGGCAAATGCCAGCCATTTCGCTGCTTTTATCTTATGCGTTCTCCACACATATAATACATTTATTTACTTTGAAAAGCAACTCAACTCTGCTGAGTGCTGTATGATGAACTGGAAAACGCCCACTTTATCTTTTATTCCAGCAACTTTCTTCTGCGTTTGACTGTTTTTGGTGCCCAAAATGGCAGCTGGCCAAGGCAAAGTCTGGTTATTGTTTTAAGACAAAGTGGCTACCAATTAAATTCACAAACCATATCAATTATTCGAGTCATGCATTCTAACGACTGAAATCGCATTTGTTTTTGCGCTCGTTTCTGTTATCAGGCAGCTGCATTGTATCTACATATTGAAAAGCTGGCCCCTAGCAACTCTCATCTGGTCTATCTGTGTCAACTGCCTTGTTCGTTGTCTGTTTGGCTCAGAGCATACATATTGACATCGTTTTTTGACAAACACTACATGCCCCCGATATCACCTTTTCATCTGAACTACACCCATCCTCACACGTCGCCCTTTTGCCCGGAAAATGCAGGCACACGCACTTGCCTTTTGGCATTTCCACCGCCCCCATTCCGCCCATTGCTCCCTGTTTCCACTTTTCCTCGTTTCCGCTCCATGTTTCTGTGTTTGTCTTTCAATAACTGCGTGCCTGGCCGTCTTGTGTAAATGTCATCAGAGACACTAAGAAAATTCAGAACATTGACAACCTAATAACACAGGTATTTCAAATTTGAACACATTTTCAATTTTGTAAGTAATTAATAGTTAGGAACATGTTTGTACGTTTATTATTTATCCTGTATTCAAGAAATTTCACCTTTTAAAGATAAATTAACCATCTAAAAGCTTCCGACAAAAATATAGGGTAGTTTAAAGCTCTTTTACACTAAATTAAAAATCACTAAAAATAATTTTAAGAACTTTGCAAATGGCCTAGAATATATTTGTATTTATAAAAAAAAAGATAAGTAAAACAATTAATAACAAGGAAGTTTTTTAAGAAGTTCAGAACAAATAGATATCAACCTTTTTGCCTTATTTGACACAAATATAGTATTCAATTTTTAAACCATCACAACTATTGACATATTTTTCTCCGTGCAAGGGCAAAAACCTGCCAAAGAAGACGGAAAAAGTTGTTGGATTTGGGTTATGTTCCATGTGTGTGCCGAGTAACATTTAATCAAATTAATACACACACCGACAGACGCAACTGGGACAGAAGGATCCGGCTGTCCTGACAGCTGCCTGACATTTTACAACCTTGTCCTTTCCGCCGTTTATTGATGAATGAGCAGGAGTGGCTGTGGATGGAAAGGAGGAAGTGGTGGTGGTGCTGGAAGCATGAATACGAAATTTAATTCATGGCCTCTTTTTTGTGTAAACTTTAAGGGAAAATTGTGTTCCCCTTTGGGACGAGTATTCTCTCTGCAGTTGCCTTTCATTACTTTGACTTGCAATCTAATTGAGCTAAATTCGTTGGGAAACCTGACTGGCAGTCTCCGAAAGGATGAAAGGGCATTGGCAAGTAGCTTTTTGGGACTGGCCAAAGAAAATGGAATTAATTCGATCGGGGGAGCAGCCGAGCATGTCCAGACCAAGGACTTTTCTATTGGCCAGACACAACTTCAGTTCAATTAAAGTGAAATGCAGGAACACGTTGTCGTTGTCTGGCATCCTAAGCTCAGGTTTAATTAATGTTGCTGCTGATTACAAAAAAGTGGCAGAAGGAGCAGAAGGACCAAGTCGCTCCTAAGTATGCAGTAACAAATGACCCCCGTTTTGGCATTGATTTACCCATGTTGTCGCCGTTGTCGCTGGCATTGCTCCACAGCGAAAATGGACGAAGAAAATCACAGCGAAAATGGAGAAAATAGGGAAAATGTGGGCGGTGCGTGTGCACTTTGGGTCAGCTTATTGTCGCTTAATTGCGGAATTTCCGCGGCCACTGAATGCAGAAGTGGTCAAGTGCAAGACCGCACATCAACGGAATTAAACTTGACATTAAGTGAGCTGCCTGGCTGGATTAATTCCGCATAACCTCAACCTAGAACAAACAGACAGCAAGGGACAACTGAAGGGCACTTATAAACAATGAGTGCCATCAATGTGATAATAGTTATGGTCTGAAGGCAGTCTACCACTAGCTCTTTAAATTTATAAGGCAGATAAAACAAACACTGATAGAAATTGAACACATTATGTCATTTTGACCAAATACTATTGCAAACTTTGAAAGATAATTGAGCTAAATGACAGGCAGAATTAGGTTTTATTGTGTATTTACAGTTCGCAAGGCAATTAGTCTATTAAAACGCCTGTTAAGTGCTGCACAGAATAAACATTATACAAATAATTGAATCAGTTTGCTAGGCTTTCAACTCAATTATAAAATTAGTTCCGTTTAATTGTGCACTAATCAGTTGCCACTCTAATATTGAAAAAGTGATACAAACACCGGCCCTAATTGGGAAAAGAGGAATAAACCGATGCCCACATAAGCGGGTGCTTATAAATGATCAACCAAAGGGGTTTGCCCTAATGAAGCATGTAATCATAGCGTGGCATCAATTTGGGCCAGCGATGTGTTAACCAGCTGCCTCCACCTGCGTTGTCTTCCCCACTTATGGGCTAAGTGAACTTTCGTGATGGATGACGCTAATTCCGGAGGCAGGTGGCAGCATCATCAGGTGAACGGGATGCTAATCAAAATCAACAACACCCAAATGAGCAACGCACGCCGCACATCACTAAAGTCCAACGCACGGGCCTTAAACTCTTCTGTAGAAGTTTTCAATTTGCCAGACAAGTTTAGATTGTATTTTGTTGGTTTTCCTGTCAAGCGTAAATTGAATCAGAGCGGAAGCTTTGCCAGGATATACAGGAAGCGGAGGAAAAGGCTTAGGTAGATTGAGGCTTTTGACATGGACTGGATTTTCAGTAGAAATTCTGTGCCAGTTTTTCGACAGCAAAATTGTCTAACGTTTACGAAAATTTAATGTGGAAATGCTTCTATTATTTAATCTAAAATCAATTGCCGGTAGAATGATGTTTAGATAATATGTTCATTTGCTTTAGTCATGCTTAAATGTTGTTTAAGTTTGACTTGTTGATACAATAAG